TGTTTGGAGAGTCATAAGTCGATGACTTCAAAAGACCAAGTTGTTAAAAACTCTAGTCTTATTTTTCTGGAAAACCCAGGGTTAATAGAAGGTTAAATGATTGAACTACTGAATAAAAATTATTTGCAAGGGCAATATTCCTATTTTTCTTATGTTTAGTCAATTTCGTCAAACAGTTGCGTGTTTATTTATTTATAATCTTCAGTATCCTCTGTATCAATCTAAATAACATTTGAATGACAGGTATTCATTCGAAACGAGAGTAAACAATTATTATGTGAAAATTTTACTAGTAACTCCAACGGGCATTTAACTGTGAACTAAGCCAACAAGAGTAAAAAAATTGGCAAAACTTGAATATACATTTCTTGAGGGCATTTTGATTTGTGTATGTTAATCATTCCTTTTCCTTTACGATAATCACTTGACGTCCACTGATAAGCATAAATACAGTAGTTTGCCTTCCCACTTAAAATTTAAATCAACGTACATGTCTAATACCTTTCAACAACTCGTCTTCAATATAAAAGCTTGTAAACTTACAACAAAATATAACCGTAAATCAAATAAAACGTTTACTGTTAAATTATATTTGAAACTCGAGGTCTTAAATATAATAATAAGAATTTCACAACGACATTATATTAGGACTGTTTGAAATAAATATTTTAACAAAGAAAATTAAAGAAGATATCAGTAAATGGGACTGGTAAAGCAAACAAAACAATATAAAATAATATAATTTTGGCTAAAAAACAAAAGATCGAATATGAAGCAATAATAAAGTAAATATTAATGTATGGTATTGCGATATTACCAATAACAAAAGCAGATGAAGAAGGTGATCTTATTGGGTCAAGTTAAACTAGCAGAAAATGAAGATGAATTAAGTAGAAAGCAAGAAATTAAAGGAGAATTATATAGTCAAAAGAATAAAAAGACATTGAATGAAATTATTTGTGTCTCTGTAAATTTAAAGTAAATAAAATTAACTCGAAAAATTATCCAAATTCGCATATCGTTTGCTTAGGTTTACTACACTAGGAATAAAATCAGATATAAAATTGAAGGCATTTTAAACTACTTGTACCACGTAACCTATGATTTGACGTATGTCTCCTGGAAGTTAAAATTTGTTATAAATTATTTCAGTAAATTGTAGGATTAATTAACCATAATGAAGCCGGCCCTGATATTTAATCAGAACGGGGTGATTATTAATTGCTCTGATAAAAATCAAAGTTTTATAATAATAATAATAAAACTCTCACTAATTCACCCCCTTACGAGTGAATTTTAACCCTAACAGTTGAGCTTGTGCGGGGAAAGGGACGGATATTATTATTATTTGCCGTAGCGCTCCGGGGAGACTTAAAGATGATTGATGGTGCCATTTGACTTACCGGTGAGGAAAACCTTTGAAAACCTCACCCACCATCATCGAGACGGTAATGCATGGCGATTTTATAATCTGCATGTCATATCAATAGAAATTGAATTTCTATTAATACGTCACACATCAAATCCTATACCGAACCATGAAATTTAATTAAAAATCCACATGGTCTGGTCTCTGATCCGAAGCCCGTCTGTCTCTGACCATAAACTTGCCTTTAAATGAATATAAGCGCGTTAGACTGCTACACCACCGACCCGATAAGTAATAATAGTTCAATCCTTAAAATATTGTGATCAAGAGATTTATAACACAGTTTTTAGTGTTTTACATATACTGTAAAATCTCAAAGCCGTGTCACACAAATAACGAGCGACCATTGACTCGCGAAAGCATGATTTTCATTTGGAAAATATTTCCATGCTAAAGTAAAAATTAAAATTCGATTTTAAGTAATTTATGATTCACCCTGTAATTAATACTTACTAAATTCATATTCATTTGTTATGCTGGAAATATTGTTTGATGTCAGTAAAGCATTATTCTCGAAAAATATCTGTAATCATAGTCCTAAGAGGCACGGCCTTTTTAAAAATTGGCCAATTTGAAAATTCCACGCCCTATATATCAACAACTAGTCATAGGATTGAGTTGTGCCATGGACACTATTGTTTAGCCAGTCGACTAGCACAACATATCAAAAATTCAGGAAATTCGACACAAGCCCATTTATTTGTTCATAAGCCTAATCCTTTTGTTATGTGAAATGTGATTAATTATTTTGTTAAAGAGATATTTGTTTAGAAAATGTAATTTAATGAAAAAATTGTTACTGTTTTTACAAAGAATAAAGGGACAATTTTGATTAGATCCCGAAAAAGTTAACTATTAGTTAAGTTAGTAGTCGGTAGTGAAAAAATATTATTTTACGCTCAGAATATAGAGGGTGAGCCACCGGTGACCCCTCGGTCTGTAGAGCCAAAACTATATGATTTTTTTAAAATCTGTTTTCACTGCAAGATATCAGAAAAGGCAACAATTTAAAAATAATTTCAGGGTTCTCCAAGAAAGTGATACATATCAAAGTTAGGTTTGTTAAACAGAACACTTTGTATTTTATTATATATTTAAATTGCCCTTGCTTTTCCCATATAACAATACCAAATAGTGTGAGTTTATACAGAGGGTATCTCATACGCTACAACCAGTTTTATATGAAAATCGTATTGATTTCAATGACCTGTATACTGCAAAAAAAGCAATTGAAAACCAATTTTTTGCGATAAAAGTTTTTGATATTAGTCAACGTTTTATGTCGACGCAATATTTTGTTTTTCAATTTGAAACAAATCTGTACAGGGTGGGTCAAAACATACGTATCAAGCTAGCAGAGCACCTTTGGATTTTTCACATTCTGAGTATGTCACAATTTTAGGCTCATTTTAGGGTAATTTTATACCAACAAAAAAAATTTTCCGCTCCTTTCTTTATATAAAAAATTAGGTACTCTGCTGGCTTAACAACAGGTACTTATTGCGTTTTTATTAAAAAAATCAACAATGTAAAAAAGTATTAAGGCATAATTTTAGGCTCATTTTAGACTAATTTTATACAAAAAAAAAATCCACTCCGGCCTTTATCGGAAAAATTAGGTGCTCTCCTAGCTTGACAATACGACTAAGTGTTTCCCGTTAATAAAATAGAGGAAACTAAAATATAGACACGACATACTTTTAGGCTTATTTTAGGCTAATTCTATTACAATATAAACATTTTGCGTTCTTGCTTTTAATGGAAAAATTAGGTGCCCTAACTTGACAATACGACTTTATAGAGTTTTTCATTAAAAAACTGAAATAACTCAAAAAAGGATAGGTCATAATTTTAGGCTCATTTTAGGCTAATTTTGTACCAACATAAAAAAAATTCCTCTTTTTTTCTTTGTAGAAAATAATTGCTCTGCTAGCTTGATATCATGCTAGCAGAGCACCTTTGGATTTTTCAAATTTTTATTATATCATAATTTTAGGCTAATTTTATGCTAATTTTTTACCAACTTAAAAGTTTTTCCGCTCCTTTCTTTATAGAAAAATTTAGTTACTCTGTTGGCGTAACAACAGGAACTTATTGCGTTATTCACTAAAAAATTTAGCAATGTAAATAATTTTCACTCTGGCCTTTTTTGGAAAAAATTAGGTGCTCTCTAGCTTGACAATACGACTTTATAGTGTTTTTATTTAATAAAATAAAATTTTAGGCTCATTTTAAGCCAACAGAGTACGTAATGTGGTTAGTTGGTAGGTATAAAATTAGCTTAAAATGAGCCTAAAATTATACCGTTATCATTTTTTACATTGCTGAATTTTTTAATTAAAAATGCAATAAGTGTCTCTTGTAAAGCCAACAGAGTACTTAATTTTTTCTATAAAGAAAATAGCGGAATTTTTTTTAAGTTGGTATAAAATTAGCCTAAAATTAGCCTTATATTATGACGTAAATAAAATTTAACAAATCCAAAGGTGCTCTGCTAGCTTGATATCAAGCTAGCAGAGCACCTAATTTTTCCTGTAAAGAAAGGAGCGGAAAAGTTTTTATGTTGGTATAAAATTAGCTTAAAATTAGCCTAAAATTATGGCGTAATCAAAATTTTAAAAATCCAATGGTGCACCTAATTTTTCCTGTAAAGGAAAGAGCGGAAATTTTTTTATATTGGTATAAAACTAGCCAAAAATGAGCCTAAAATTATGACATACTCAAAATATGAAAAATCCAAAGGTGCTCTGCTAGCTTGATACGTATGGTCAAAACTCAAATACATCATTTTCTTGTTTTTTTTTTTTAAATTGACCAACCTGTATTTTATATCACCATTTAAAAGTGCATTAATTAAAATTTCATTTGAGTTAAGCATTCCCTATACCTAAAGTTAAAAATTTTGGGAGATTTAACTGAGAAAAAAGATTATTAGTTCTAGTTTATATTTTCCCAATTTAATATTTTATTTATTATAAATAGTTTCTTATTTTTTATTTTTTCCTAATTTCTTATAAGCAAAGCAAATATTAATTAGTACAAAATAAAAAACAAACAAACGCGTAGGGGCCTGTGGGTATAGCCTCAAACACAGACCCGTTGGGATTTTGCTACGGCAGTTAGCAAAACCAATGTAAAACAACTTTTAATTTACTTTAAACGCAATAAAATTAACAAAATCTAAACAAAATAAATGTAACTTTTCTTATAAACCTATTATACTATTCATAATCTCTCGACTAGAGATTGATAAACTTTATTGAGAAAGACATCGATACGAAACGAGAAATTCCATTCGAGACGAGATTTATCGTCTCGGTGAAACTATACATCAGGTAAAATTAAAGTTTTTGATGCAATAGAAAGAATCACCTGTAGGAATAATAATAGTTCTATCATTAAAAATAATCAGGTCAAAAAACTGTCAATAAATTAAAATTTAAATTTAAAATTAAATTCCAATTCAGTACCGTATGTCTGACTCACGGCACAAGGCGCAAGCCGAAGTAAGAGATACCAATCTCTACTTGGAAAAACGTACTCATCGCGGGTAATTTATCGCAATACTCACGTCCGAGGCAAGTGTGCTTCCGGAACTGCAGGAAGCCGTCCACACATCGACATGCACCGTCCAGACAACTGCTATTCGCCACCTTCAAAGAGCACTGTTCCGGCACCAAGCAGTCGTAACCCAAAAGAGTGGCTGAAACAAAGAATACAAAATGGTAAATCGGTTTCAGAAATTTCATGTACTAGCTAATTATATTGGTACACATTTATAAATAGTTATAAATAGTAGGATGAGTTGAAAACTTTTTTGTAAATTGTAATAGGTGTGTTAAAAAATATATATACAGAGGATCTCAGAAATAAGTTATCAATTTTAAACTTCCTTGGGGAAATGGGGTTGGAAGGGTTATTATTGGCCGATCAAAATTAGTAATACGCCCTCTGTAGGCAGTAGGCAAGTTTCAGTGTTGCCAATCCTAGCAGAATTCCGACACGATAGACTTTTTAAGTGTTGGAATTTGTGTTTACCAATATGTAATCATAGGGTCTATTTATACTCCCTTATTATTAGTATTTGCATTAGTATTATGATTAAGCATTAAGTTGAACCTTCACAATGTAATGGGGACATTTATACTCGATTTATGATTAGTATTAGCATTAATATTTATGCTTAATAATTGACAGATTCAACTTTTAAATTAAATATTAAATTTCTTCTTTTCTATAAAATGAATCAATAGCGTATTTGGCCTTTGTTTTTAATAGACAACGGATAAGGATAATTGACAATACACACATGATTATGTTGTTTATATGTTTGTCCAACAAGCTCGAAAACGATATTTCGGTACAAATCATGCTATGTATATATGTATGTATGTGTATCAGCAGTGTTTACCGATTATAAAGTTGACAAATGACATGTCACCACGAGGAAGCAAAGGCCTCTTTTCTGTCTGATTTGTATCATATTTCTGCTTCTTTTTATCTGTTATAAATTTGAGACTTAAATCCGTTAAAATGTCCTTAATTAAACCTATTTTTGAATATTAATATTTTTAAATAAAATTAACTAGTAAAACTATTAATAAAAACACATTTAAAACTCAAATATCTTAAAAGAACACAACCGGCCTCTTACACATTTCTTCAGTAACCATATATTTTGTTGACTGCAGAATTATATCTTATTAGGTATTAGGTTTAAAAAAGAATTACTAATACTAATTATAAAACGAGTATAAATACCTTTTTTTAATGATTTAACAAATTTAATGCTTAATCATAATACTAATACAAATACTAATACTAAGGGAGTATAAATAGACCCATACTCTATATTTATTTAAGGATTTTTATAAAATCGTTTTAATTATATTGAGATTTTTAAATTTCAGTTAACTTGTCCAGTTTTTTGTTTAATCAGTTGGCATCACGGGCATTTTTACTTGGCTTGTGTCAGTACTGTCAGTAATGTAGTGTTTCTGCGTTAAATTTGTTTATTTTATTCTGAAGAAAATGTTATTATATTAATATTGGAATTTACAAAAAATCAAATTGTATTACAGTACTTATGCGGTTGAAATTCCAGATAAAAACGTACATTTCCATTATTTTCCAAAGATAACAAAATATAATGGGTATTTCTGTGAATACCCAAAAAACTAACCTACTAAATTGAAATATTGAATTCGTGTGTTATATGTTATATGTATTGCTTTCATGCGGGTACACATACAGGGTATCTCATTAAGAATGGGACATGCAACAGCTGAAGATTCTCTGTTTAAAAATAAGATGATTAAACGAAACGAAGATTATTTCGAATACATTTTCACACACTGTGAAACAAAAAGATGGGGTTTCTATTATTTTAAATATTTAAATAAGAGTGATCGATTTTAAATATAAATGCACAGCTTATTAATTGCTCTAAAGAGATGGGGTATTCACCAATTGCTTTCGTTTATCCAAAAGTTTTTTTCAAGTTTGTTCACATTTTATCACATCAATACAGGGTGATCCACTAATGTTGGTCAACTGAAATGGAAAAAATATGTATTATTTTAAATGGAACACCCTGTATATTTTGATGGAATTCAAAAGAGAGATTCATCTTCTTTTTAAAAATGTATAGTTTGATATCTTTTGTTTTCTTAACAACACAGATTTTCGAGTTTTTAAGTAATAATTTTACCAAAGAATCATTCGTTTATTTAAAAAATCCAAAAAAATAAAAGATTTGAAACAAAATCAAAAAACTCTTATAAAACATAAAAATAAAAAGAAATATATATAAAAATAAACTTAAAAATCACTCGTAAAAATCACAAATAGGTTTATCTTGATTACTTAATCGTAAAATCACAATCTGTCGATAATTTTTTCGACGTCCAGATTAAAATCCTGATGGATATGCAAAAGAGCTAATCCATCAATCCGTCAACGACGACTGACCACAGTTACAGTACGACTGACTGTAGACCGATTAAATTCTAGTGGTCGTTCATGGTTCCTCTACCATATACCTATTACACCTATACTGTACATCAGCCTGTGCTTCTCTATTCTTCATTCGTCACCGTCATCTTGTTTTTTTTTTGCTTTCTCGTAAAATCTCGTTGTTTTTAGATTACAAATTAATAAATTCCTGGATTTCTTTGAGCAGCTCGGGGGGGGGGGGGTAATTACCCTATTACCGCTTCTTCTAAGGTATCCAAAAGTAAACGGTGGCTGACAGTATCAAATGCATTCGAGAGGTCTAGATATACACAGAGACATGGCTGCTTTTATCTAGAGCAGTTAGTATTTTGGTAGATAGTGCTATAATAGCATCTTCCGTAGAGACATGTTTTTTAAAACCATATTATTTATCAGATATTATACCATATTTTGATGTACAATTTACTAATCTGTTTTTAGGAGCTTTTTCAAAAATCTTTGATAAATGGGTTATTACTTAATGAAATTGGCCTATAATTTGTTACCACTGTGTCATCTCCTCTTTTGTATACGGGGACAACAATTGTCTGTTTAAATATATTAGGCCAAACACCAGTATCAAAAGTCAAGTTTATCAAATGATTTAGTGGTGTTACAATGAATTTAGATATATCTTTTAATATTTCGGCCTTAATATTGTCGATACCAGGACTTTCATTAGATTTTAACTCGTAAATAATAGTTTCAATTGCTCGTTCGGAAGTTGGAAATAGAACGAAAGAATGGCAGATAATATTACGGGGTGCTCGATGGGTTGGATTTGGCTTAATATTTTCAGCCAGTTTTGTTTTTCAACATTTATATAGGTTTTATTAAAAATATTTGCAATATCTTTAAATGTATTTATTGTTTCCCCTTTCAAGTTTTTTATTAAATTGATATATTTTTTTGTTTCTCTATTGGGGTTAATTTCATTTATTACTTTCCAAAGTTGTTGGGGGTTAAAGGAGTTGTTTTCAATATTTTTGTTAATTAGGCTTTTATAATAGTTATTTTTCACAGTTTTTATAGAATTAGTTACTTTGTTTTTATATGTTTTATATTGTTACAATTTTTCAGAAATCGAATAAACTGAATTTTCACAATCAAGGAAATTTTTTATGCAAACATTAAAACTCGTTGATTCAATGAAATCTTTAATGAATAATCTGGAATATTGGAATAAGGATTAGAATTTTTCATAATTTCGCAGATGGAACAAGAATGATATTATCTTGAATTGGGTTGCAAGGACTTTAATTTAGCTTGTAATCTATTCAGATTAACTGGATTATCTGCTGTAAAGTGCGTTAGGGAAATTTATTGAACTAATATTTGATTCTGGAACAAGATATATAAGTTTGAAGGGAAATTAATCACGAAATGTTGATTTTTGATACGTCGGTCTTACCCAATATTTCTAGAAAGACAAATTCACTGAATTCAATTGCAATTAATTTATAATCTTACTCTTGAATTTAATCAAATCTTTGTTTTGTATTTGTTCATTTGCAAAGTTTAAATCGTTTCATATTTTTTCTCTCTTACAATAATAATTGTATTTGTTTGTGTTACTCGCGAATTATTATGAACACTTTTATATGCATAGTTTTTATTATTTATTGATTAGTTTTCTTAAAACTGTATTAGAAACATCGCATTGATTATTCAATTAGGTACTGGACTTTTTCTGCTGTTTAATTCCTTCTTTTATTGGCTTTGTTATTTATTCCGAAGTTATTTCAACGACAATAAGCAATACGTTGGCCTTTATTATTTATTCCAAAGGTATTTCAATAACAATAAGCAATAATAGTTTGTAACATGGTCTTTGATGGTACTATTTTATACCGGATGTCCGCGCGAAAACTTCGGATGGCTTTATTTCAGATAAAAATTAAGATATAATCTTGATTTTGTGAGGTATGAGACAATGCTCAGTAAGACGTAATTTCACATACTTCTTTTTCAATATCCCACCCCACTTCGTCCCAAGCTACCCTTACGACAAAGATTTTAATGACATATGGTACATCCATAAAAAAAGTTAAAATACGAGGTAACATCATCTTTTGCGGTAATAACGGCTTGAATGCGTCGTGGCATGGAATTTACTAGTCTTACAATATTCGGGGGTGAAAGAGTTCCAAATTTGTGAAAGACTTCTTCATCTGATGCCATAATGTTTTAATGACATTCAAGTCGGGACTACTCGAAGGCCACGATAAAACTTTTATATTATGGTCACCAAACCACGTTTTCGTTGTTTTCGCCGTATGGCATGGTACACCATCTTGTTGAAAAATAAAACTATCATTTCCAAAACATTGTTCTGTTTTTGGAATTAAGCTTCTTGATAAAATTTTTTGATATTTTCTGCATTTACAGTACCATCAATGAACTCATATTTGCCAACCCGTTTACTACTTGGGAAATTTTACAGTACGCTTTAAGCAGTCTTTATGAAAAGCTTCGGATTTTGTACGAATTACCCTTTTTCGAAAATCCCCAACGCATACATCAAATTTCGATTCATCGCTGAAAATGGCATTACTCCACATTTCCATTGTCCAGGATATTTTGGATTTTGCCCAATCCAAACGTTTTTTCATTTAAATAGCTGTCAGTAATGGCTTTTCCTTCGCCTATAAGGAATGTGTGAAACAGAACATTATTAATTTTTGTGTATTAAACCGAAAAATCACAGAT